TATATGTCTTATCTGCCTCTAATTCATATATTGAGAAGATGAGTAGCAATGATAATACACATCTTTGGCATGCTAGACTTGGACATCTAAGTATGGATAAATTAAGAGCCATGGTAAAGTTGAATCTAGTAAAAGGTTTGCCTAACTTAAAAAATTTTGGTGGAGGAGGGATTTGTGAAGGATGTCAATATGGAAAGGCACATCGTCTTCCATTCGACAGATCCTTGTCAAGGTGTAATGCCCCACTAGAACTTATTCACAGTGACTTGATGGGGCCAACGAGAACTCCTTCATTTTCAGGCTATTCTTATATGTTAATTTTCATTGATGATTTTACTAGATTCACGTGGGTTTATTTTGTAAAGCACAAGTCAGAAGTAAGTTTGTGGAATTCAAAGAAACAGTTGAAGGTGAACTCGATTCCAGAATAAGGCGGCTGCGAACTGATAATGGCGGTGAGTTCACGTCAGATGAGTTTCTCTCCTTTTGTCGTCAGCATGGCATTAAAAGAGAGCTGACATGCGCTGATACGCCACAACAAAATGGAGTGGCTGAAAGGAAGATCCGACACTTAACCGAGACATGTAAGAGTTGGCTTCATGCCAAGAATCTACCTAGAGCCTTGTGGGCTGAAGGTATGAAATGTGCAGCGTATGTGATTAACAAGATGCCGCTTTCTCCAAACAATATGAAGTCTCCCTATGAATTAATGTTTGGAGAAAAGCCTAGTGTTAAACACCTCTGAGTTTTTGGCTCTATTTGTTATGTTCACATTTCGGATTCTCAACGGAGCAAGTTAGATGCCAAGACAAGGAAATGCATCTTTATCGGATATGATGAAAGAAAAAAAGGATGAAAGTGCATGGATCCTAAAACTCATCTCTTTGTTGTTTCAAGGGATGTCATATTCGATTAAGTCTCGTTGTATTATGGAGTTGCGCAAGAAAGGGCAGGTTATAGACCCTTGAACCCTGAAGCATCAAATCTGCCCATCACGAGTACTTCCTTAGATAATGCAGTAATGGAGGAGCTAAGAGAAAGGGGGAGCCCGAGAACTCAAAGAAATGAAACTCAGCAAGGAGACGATTCAAGTGGTTTAGGAAGACCAAAAAGAACTATTATAAAGCCAGCTCGTTTCAGAGATGAAAATTTCGTCAGCACATACTCATGTCTCTTTGCAGGACCAACTGAAGAACCTTCAGTTTTTGGGGAAGCAAGAGGAGCCAGAAAAATAGTGCTGAGATCTTCACCAAGACACGTCCTAAAGCATCGGTTGAGTTCTTCCGCGACAAGCGTGGGGTAGCTTCCAAAAAATCACTTTAAGGGGGTGTGTGAAAAAAACAAAGTTGATTTTTTGGAAAAATATAGAATTCTCTAGAATGTCCTAGTATAGTATCCTTGATATTTATCTAGTAGACATATCTAGATGTTCTAGAATGTTGTGGGAAGATAAGACATATCTAGATATTCTAGAGTGTTGTTAGAAGATAAGGTTGCTAGAATCTTCTTTGTACATTATCTAGAATTATCCATAGGCTAGTATAAATAAGGGGTGTCTTGTTCAATTGTAACGAAGCCAAAATCAAGAAAACCTTCTTTCCTAAACAAAGTTCTTATCTCCAACACTTTTGTTCTCTTTTTCAAGCTTACTCTTCTTTAGTTGAATCCTCTAATATTATTTAATGATCTTGGGCTAGCAGAATATTTCCAAATAATACTCTTATTCTGCTATTCTTTACAAGATTTGAGTGCATCCAATGTGCAAGCTACAAATTGGTTACATCAGGTTATCAAGCTACCTAGTTTGAGGGAATTACATTTATCTTCCTGTCAAATCCCCATAATCAATCCTTCATCATTTGTATCCGCAAATATTTCCTCCTCTGGTCTTTCCGTCGTTGACATCTCCTATAATGGGTTTTCATCTCCTGCAATAAATAGTTGGTTATTTAACTTCACTAGTCTTACTAGCCTAGATCTTTCGGGCAACGATTTAGGTCAAATTTCTAGTGCCTTTGGGTACTTGAAATCTTTGGAACATCTTAGGCTGTATGGAAGTGGTATTCAAGGTGGGATACCAAAGTCTGTTGAGAATTTAAGTCATTTATGCTCTCTTGATGCTAGATCCAATAACTTAAGTCAACCATTTTCTGAGTTGCTTAATATCTTGTTAGGAGTAATAGATCACTTGAACTTTTGTCTTTTGAGGACAATGCACTCACTGGTTCATTGATTAATCTTACTAGATTTTCATCCTTGAGGGAATTGAGGCTACAAAACAATTTGCTAAATGGCATTTTCCATGAAAGCTTTAGACAAATTTCCAGTCTTGAATATCTTGATTTGTCTAATAACCAAATGACAGGGCCATTACCAGACTTGGCATTATTTCCGTCTCTGAGAGAGTTGCGTCTCGGGGGTAATCATTTTAATGGGAAGATGTTACAAGGTTTAGGGCAACTTTCCAAGCTCAAAATCTTGGATGTCTCTTTCAATAGACTGCAAGGCTTACCGGAAAGTTTAGGGAAGCTTTTCAACCTTGAAAGTTTTGATGCTCCTTGTAATTTGTTAGAAGGTACAATCTCTGAATCCCATCTTTCCAACTTTTGCAACCTGAAAAGTTTAAATTTGACTTCCAACCCCTTGACTTGGAATGTTAGCCTTGATTGGGTTCCATGTTTTCAACTACAAGTTATCGGCCTTTCATCTTGTAATCTTGGGCCTCTTTTTCCAAAATGGCTTCAAACTCAAAATAGCTACTCAGTTCTGGATATCTCTCTTAATAGTATCTCGGACACAACGCCTAGTTGGTTTTCAAAGTTGCCTCCCATGTTATCATATTTGAATCTCTCTTACAACCAAATCAGTGGAAAGATACAAGACTTGTCAGCCAATAATCTTGGTTCCTTTGTCTTAGATTTCAGTTATAACAATTTTTCAGGGCCCTTACCAATATTTCCTAAATTTGTTTATGATTTGCATATTAACAACAATCAGTTTTCTGGATCACTTAACTCCATATGTAAACTTCGTTCAGCCACAATCCTTGACTTGTCAGAAAATCTCTTGTCCGGAGAGATTCCTGATTGTTGGAGCCTCATGCCTGTTCCAATGATCCTTAATGTAGCCAATAACCGTATATCTGGAAGCATTCCATACTCTTTGTGTTCTTCAACGGCCTTGAGCTCTCTATATGTGCGTAAGAACAATTTAAGTGGAGAGTTCCCCGCCTCTTTGAAGAATTGCCAAGGTTTGAAAGTCTTGGATTTGGGAAGAAATACATTTAGTGGAAAAATCCCAGAATGGATAGGGACTAAGTTACCTTATTTGGGCATTCTGAGCCTTCGATTCAACAAATTCTCTGGGAGCATTCCTCCAAGTCTATGTCAGCTTCAATCTATTCAAATACTGGACCTTTCTGGCAACCATTTATCTGGAACAATTCCACAATGTTTCAGCAATTTCACCTCACTGCAACTTTTGCAAGATGGTTCAAGTGTGAGCTATGACTTCGATCCTTATGTTCCTCGAGTTGGTGTATTGTACCATGGCAATGCATTAGTCCAGTGGAAAAACAAAGAGTCAGAGTACCAGAGTACCATGGCAATGCTAATTTGACGTTTCTTAGTGTGTTGGACTTGTCAAATAACAACTTCTCAGGGAGAATACCATCAAGCACTCAATTGCAAGGTTTTGATTCCTCAACTTATAGTGGGAATATTCAGCTATGTGGCCGTCCTCTTCCACAGTGTCCTACATTTGCTCCTCCTAATCCTCAAGTTGGTTATGACAGCAATGCTAGTACTTCTCAAGAAAATGACGATGAGTTTCTATCTAAAGAGTTTTATATATCGATGGCTTTGGGTTTTGTTATTTGTTATTGCATTTTGGGGAGTTTTAGGCTCTTTGTTCTTCAACAATTCATGGAGCACAGCATATTTCAAGTGGTTAAATGTACATTAGAAGTTGCTCCATCTTTGAGTTTGTATTCTACTCATAGTCAAGAGATAACCTTCATCTTTTTACTTGAAAGTTGCTTTGCTTTTAATGTTATTGCTATATATCAATAGCTATGGGTGGCTTGCAATTAAGAGCAGCTTCTTTCTAGTAGAACCACTATGATATTTAGATCCCAAATTCATATTTTTCTAAGCTAGCATAAGCTTTCAAGCATAAGAAAATAATTGGAGCCATCTCCAGTAACAAGAAGAATTTACCACTGCAGCAAACACATGAAAAAACAAGAACTTAGTTCTTCCTCCAAAGCAGCAAGAATAAAGTTAATAGAATTTAGGAATGAGAGAATCAGACAGTTGAGTGCACACATTTTGTGTTAAAAAAATTCTAGTAATACTACTAGATTACTCGTCTTGATGTACAAGCTATGTTACTCCGACATAGCAGTTTAGGTGCTGCACCTGTGTCGACACAATACTAGTATGGGTGTGGGTATGGAATCCGTACCGGATCTGGTCAAACATTTTTGGGTACTTCGAATTTACATCTCGAAGGATTTGACCTCTAGATCCGTACCCGTGTCGGACGCCCGCACCCGTGTCCTAGCAACTTAGTGTATAAGTGTAAGTTTCAAAAGGTGAAAATTTTGACAACCTTTCAACTTTTCAGAGAACCAAAATTGAGCCCTTCTGACTTAGTATTTTGGCAAAAAAGTCAAATATTCCGTCTTCTTTGACTACATGATCTTGTTTGTGCTACTAGTCAAAGTGCAAGAAAATTGGATGTAAAGAATAATTTTTGTTAAATCTTTTTCTTCCCAAAGTGGGGTCACTTGTCTTTGATGTCAAACTTAAGTTGGTTGTATAATTAAAATCTGTAAAATTTATTGCTAGCAAGTCTTTTTCTTATATTTTTAGTTGGGTCTGAAAAGAACTTAAAATCTTGGATAGTCAAGCATTGTGTTTCCTAATTAGTCAAATACAAGTGTAGACAAATGACTTTGAAAGTTGTCATTGACTAGGAAAATAGATGCATACAAGAACCATTAATGTTAGTTGAACTTTGTTGTTTCATGCTCATAGCTTCAATTAAAAAACAATGGATAAAAGGAAATATCCAAGATTAGATAATTTCCTTGTTACTTGGTCTTTACTGTTCTTACAGACAGCTTTTGGATTAACTTCAAGAGAAGTTAACAAAATCATGTGTATAGAAAAGGAGAGAGATGCTCTTCTTGAGTTCAAAAGAGGCCTTATTGATGATTTTGATCGATTATCAACATGGGGTGATGAAGAAGATAAAAAAGATTGCTGTAAATGGAAGGGTATTGAATGTGACAAAAGAAGTGGTCATGTAACTGTTCTTGATCTTCACAGTGAGGTTTCATGTCCAGGCCATGCTTGTTTTGCTCCAATATTGACAGGTAAACTCGGTCCTTCTCTACTTGAGTTGCAGCATCTGAATTACTTGGACCTCAGTCTAAATGGATTTGACAGAAGTGAAATACCAAGATTCATATCCTCTCTTAAGAGACTAGAGTATCTGAACCTCTCATCATCAGATTTTTCTGGTGTAATTCCTACACAGTTAATGAATTTAACTTCTTTGAGGATTCTTGATCTTGGGAACAATAATCAACTAATAGTAAAGGACCTTGGGTGGCTTTCTCATCTGTCCTCCCTAGAGTTCTTGCGTCTAGGTGGTAACGACTTCCAAGCAAGCAATTGGTTTCAAGAGATAACTAAGGTACCTTCACTGAAAGAACTCGACTTGAATGTTTGTGGTCTCTCTAAATTCGTTCCATCTCGAGCTGATTTAGCCAATTCTTCTTTGATCTCTCTTTCTGTTCTTCATTTATGTTGTAATGAGTTTTCTTCTTCAGCTGAATATAGCTGGTTATTCAATTTTAGCACAAGCTTAACTAGCATAGACCTCTCCAATAATCAGCTGGACGGTCCAATTGATGATCGCTTTGGGAGTTTGATGTATCTAGAGCATCTTAATCTTGCTGATCAATTTAATCATAAAGGTGGGGTTCCCAGTTCTTTTGGGAATTTGACACGTTTACGTTATCTGGACATATCTAACACTCGGACATACCAATGGCTTCCTGAGTTGTTCCACAGGTTATCAGGCAGTAGGAAAACACTTGAGGTTTTGGGGTTGAACGACAACTCAATGTTTGGTTCATTGGTTAATGTCACAAGATTTTCAGCCTTAAAGAGATTATACCTGCAGCACAATGTGCTGAATGGTTTTTTCACGGAAAGATTTGGACAAGTTTCGAGTCTCGAGTATCTAGACTTGTCTGATAACCAAATGAGAGGGCCGTTACCAGATTTAGCATTGTTTCCATCATTGAGAGAGTTGCATCTTGGATCTAATCAATTTCAAGGGAGGATACCACAAGGTATTGGAAAACTTTCACAGCTTAGAATTTTGGACGTCTCGTCCAATAGACTGGAAGGATTACCAGAAAGTATGGGACAACTATCAAACTTGGAAAGTCTTGATGCCTCTTACAATGTCCTGAAGGGTACAATCACTGAGTCCCACCTTTCAAACCTCTCCAGTTTAGTGGATTTGGACTTATCGTTCAACTCGTTGGCTTTGAAGACGAGCTTTGATTGGCTTCCTCCTTTTCAGCTTCAATTTATAAACCTTCCATCTTGCAATTTGGGACCTTCTTTCCCCAAGTGGCTCCAAAGTCAAAACAACTATACTGTTCTTGATATCTCTCTTGCAAATCTATCAGATGCGCTACCAAGTTGGTTCTCTGATCTTCCTCTCAATTTAAAGATTCTGAATCTCTCTAACAACCATATCAGTGGAAGAGTTTCTGAGTTGATAGTGAATAAACAAGACTACATGGTTATAGATTTAAGTTCCAACAACTTTTCAGGACCTTTGCCACAAGTTCCTACCAATGTGCGAATATTTTACCTACATAAAAATAAGTTTTCCGGATCCACTTCTTCCATTTGTAAAAGTACAACAGGAGCTGCCACTTCCCTTGACTTGTCACACAACCAATTTTCAGGAGAACTTCCTGATTGTTGGATGAATATGAGTAATCTGGTTGTTCTTAATCTAGCCTATAATAATTTCTCTGGAAAACTTCCACAGTCATTAGGTTCCTTGGAAAGTTTGAAGGCATTATACATACGCCAGAACAGTTTTAGCGGGATGTTGCCTTCTTTCTCACAATGTCAATTATTGCAAATCTTGGATTTTGGAGGGAATAAGTTGACAGGAAGAATCCCAGCATGGATAGGTACTGATCTACTCAACTTGCGTATTCTAAGCCTACGGTTCAACAAATTCTATGGCAGCATACCATCAATTATCTGTCAGCTTCAATTTCTTCAGATACTTGACCTTTCAGCAAATGGATTAACTGGGAAAATTCCACAGTGCTTCAATAATTTTACCTTACTGCATCAAGAAAATGGTTCTGGTGAGTCGATGAATTTTTCAGTCCAATATGACTATATTCCTCGTTCATACTTGTACATAGGCAATTTATTGGTTCAATGGAAAAACCAGGAGGCCGAGTACAAGAATCCTTTATTATATCTGAAGACTATTGATCTTTCAAGTAATAAATTGGTCGGAGGTATTCCTAAAGAGATAGCTGAAATGAGAGGATTGAAATCTTTGAACCTTTCAAGAAATGATCTGAATGGAAGTATCAGTGAAGGAATAGGTCAAATGAAGATGTTGGAGTCACTTGACTTGTCAAGAAACCAGCTTTCTGGTATGATTCCTAAAGGCCTTGCTAATTTGACTTTTCTTAGTGTGTTGGACTTGTCAAAAAACCGCTTATCAGGAAGAATTCCATCAAGCACTCAACTCCAAAGTTTTGAGAGATCATCCTATAGTGGTAACGCCCAACTCTGCGGTCCTCCTCTTCAAGAATGTCTCGGATATGCTCCCCCTAGCCCACGTATCGATCATAGCAGTAACATGAATCCCCAAGAACCTGATGATGATGGTGAGGATTTTCCATCTCTAGAGTTTTATATATCCATGGTGTTGGGTTTCTTTGTTGCATTTTGGGGATTCTTGGGCTGTTTAATTGTCAACCATTCTTGGAGGAATGCCTACTTCACATTCTTAATGGACACGAAGAATTGGCTCGCTATGATCTCATAATCGTAATGTTCCAATGTACCTGTTTACTTTCAAGAGGTAACTTGATTTTCTATTCTCTTGTTGTGGTGTCTATGAGTAAATCTCTTGTTGTTGGATTTCTAATGTTTCATTTCTGAATAGAGAATGCTGAAGTACTAGAAATTGAGTAGTGCTGAACTGTAGAAGTGGTAGACAGCATTTTCGATTTCACTCTAATCATAGGCATTTTGGCAAAATTGTGACCAGCGTCCAGCTATAATACCATATTCCACCAATCATATTGGTTTGACGAGCTTCCTATTCACGACAAATTTAGTATACAGAAATTAATAACTGCAATCATCACAAGACAAATGTAAAGAGAAATTATTTTATCAATATAACATGCGAGCACAACTCTGTGTATCTCTTGAATCTTGTCCATAATTTGTATATACCGCCTTTTTCTAGGATGACTGAGTTGTACATGTCTTATCAGTGTTTAGTTGTTGCTGCTCCATTTACTAGAAAGTCTCCTAAGTTGGGATATCCATCTTCTTGTTGGTCCAGCTTCAGTCCTTCTAGATGAAAAACTTCATGCAATTTTGATGTAAAATAAGAACTACTGCTTCTGAAGAAGTGTCATCATTTATCATATAAATTATGTGTCAAATTCCAATTATATAATCTGTCTCTTCCTCATGAATTTATCTTGAATCGAGATCTTTTGGCTCAACTTTATCCCAGTTTGCCGAGGGAGCAACCCCATTTTTCACCTTGAATTGGTCAACCACATTTGTTTGATGTGACTTCAAGTTCTACCTGTAGTACTCAGCAGAAGTTGTAATTGAGATACAAACAAGGGTGTCTGATATATCAAGGATATTTTTTTAGTTGAGATGTTATAGTAAACGAATTGGTGCTTAATCTATTTCATTGCTGATCTACATGTGACTTGGATTGGGTCAGGACTCTTCTGTATCCTACTTTGATATCAAGTACAAAATATTAAATGTAATTAACTGAATCGCGGGTTCAAACAGCCTCTTACAATAGACTCTTGTGGCCCGGTACTTCCCCGGACCCTTGCATAGCAAAGTGCTAAACAGAGCTTAGTGTGAATTTTTTCATGATTTCGCCTACCCCTCTCTTGCCCCGTCCTCAAGGGCGGAGCTACCAATGCCAATGGATGATCAGTTGAACACCTTTCATCGCAAAATCTTGACTTTGGCTTTGAGATGCCCTGCCATATCAAGAATGACAATTCTCGAAGAAACAAAAGCAGAATAAGATTTATGGATCTTTTTTCAAATTAAAATTAAGTGACAATGTTGTATGTTTACATGATATTTGTGGTCCTTAGCTTCTATAGTTTTCTGTATAGCGAGTACAAACTTTGACCCCTTCATCTTATTATAATATGGTTATATAAATTTGTTATCTTAGACTACTTATATTGGATGGAAAAACTTCAGATATCACATTACACCATTGATAGATCTTTGTCAACACCTATTTAATGTCTGGGGTGACCAGAAGATTTGTGATGATAAGTTTCTCTCATTTTCCTATATTTATTAAGTAGTATTTTGGTATAAAACTCAAGTAGCCCGTCTTCTTTGACTCACTCTCCAGTCTCCAGTACTACTACTTGCTTATGCTTATTAGTCGAAGCGGGAGAAAATCAGATGTAATAAATCACTTCTCTTTTGATCTTTTTCTTCTTATGTCAAATATTTAATAAAATCTCTAGTAAGAGTCTTTTTTAATCTTTAAATCCAAATTTAGCCACTTTTCATGTAAAGATAAATCTAAACGAAAGCATTGCTCAAAATTCGGAAAATATTCTATCATAATATACTGGAGTTCGAATTTTTTACATGTGAACTTCCAGCATAATATACTAGAGTTCTAGCATAATATGCTGGAAGTTCATACGCATGTGCTTTAATCTCCAGTATATTATGCTGGAACTTTCTGTGTGCTGGAGTTCCAACATAATATGCTGGAAGTTCATAAACAGGTGCACAAATTTCCAGTATATTATGCTGGAACTTTTCGTGTTGCAGCAAAATGGTGAGCATTTTTCAATGACATTACAGATGCTGGCTATTTTTCAATTATCAGTCCGAAAACTGGCTAGCCCGTACTATTTTCACCTTACAACTTGAATAGCCAAGCATTAAATTTCCTAGTAAGACATATACATACATTTCCTCGCATATTCTTGAAAGTTAGTCTAGGAGATAGATGCATGTTAGTGTGATGCATTAGAGTGTGTATATTTATTATATATAATAAGCTAAAGATTTGGAAAAAAAACACATAACATTCAGTTGCTTCTAATTGCCTTTAGTAAAGAACAATGGGCAAAATGAAGTAAAAATAGCACCAACTAGCCAGTTTTCGGATGGATCATTCTAAAATAGCCAGCGTTCGCAAAGTTATTGAAAAATAGCCACTATTTTGCTGCAACAAAGAAAGTTCAAGCATAATATATTGGAGATTGGAGCACCCGTGCATGAACTTCCAACATATTATGCTAGACTAGTATATTATAGTGGAACTACAGTATATTATATTGGAACTCCACTATAATATACTGGAGTTCCAGTATACTTATGCTGGAGTTCCAGTATATTATACTGGAATCCTAGGTATATTATGATAGAGTATTTTTTGGATTTTGAACAGTATTTTCGTTCAGATTTATCTTTATATGAAAAGTAGCTAAATTTCGATTACTTATAAAACTATGACTATTTTTGAATGACCACTTGTAAATCTGGCTATTTTTGAGTTTCTCAATGTCCAAGTTTAGCTCATTTCCTTGTTGCTTTGTCTTTACTGCTCCTACTTGCTGACAAATTAGCCTAAGACTTGATGTTAAAAACTTTACCAAATATGACTGTTACAAGAAAAAGATTCGAGATACTTTCAAAACTAGAATACGAACCTATTAGTTTTGGTTCAAATCCTCTATTTGTTTTAAAAGATTTAATGAATACGTATAAATTATTAATTTAGAAGTTAGTAACTTAAAAGGACTAGAAATTTGAATCATAAGCTTCAAATTTTGACTCGATTCTATAGGAAAAATTAGGTGGATTAGTCACTTTTTGGGCCTACTATCATCGTTTAGCCATATTTTTAATTGTAATGGCAAAGTAGACGCTAGTTTGATTAAATTGACGCTTTCGCCCCCAACTAAAACGCGAAACACAACTCTAGCAATCGGTCCTAAAGCAACGTTTTGAATTCTATCTTATTGTAGCTTAGTTGAGTCGCAAAGATATTGCCATTATTATTCTTTTATATGCTCGTAGAGGAGAGTTCAATTATTTTCAACAAGTATATTACGAACTCCAAGCACGACAAAATTATTATTGTTGTACAAAAATTTATGAGGGTGATTTGGTCTAATAATTGATCAAGATATATTTTATTGTATCATTCCAATGAACGAGTTGAAGTTGTTACTATATCTATCTAACAATCTCTTTCTCTATTATGTATATAAAGGTAAGGTGATACCTTTCATAGGCAAAAAATCTACTTACTTTTTCTAGATTTTTTTGGCTTTTTCTCCTTATTTTTTTTATTTTCTGTTCACTTTTACTTGTCCAATATACTAAAAGTACATTTTCATTTTTACTTGTCCACTTTAGCAAATCAAGAGAAAGATAATTCTTTTTCCTTATTTTACCCTTATCATTAACAACTCATTCCCCAATTTATTTCCCAAGAATTTATGAAATGCTATCATTACTAGCAGTTATATAGTAAATTAAGAAATTTACCTTTTAACATTAATTAACAATATAATTGATCATATTAACCTTAGTTTATTCATTGAAAATACAATAAATACTTTTAGGCTCTTTACTCTAAGGGCAACTTTGGGAAAAAATAGTTAATTCTTTGTTGATATTTTAAAAAAATCAAATATTATGGACCATAAAAAATGACAAAAAATTACTTAAAGTGTACTGGAGGGAGTATTATTTTAGGTACACCAAAGGACTTATGAGTTACATAATGCTGATTCAGAAGTGAACATAGCACGGGCTAGCCAGTTCTTGAACTGGTAATTGAAAAATAGCTGGCGTTTGCAAAGTTAATGAAAACTAGCCACTATTTTGTTGCAACACGGAAAGTTTCAGCATAATATATGCTGGAAATCCATACACGAAAAGTTCCAGCATAATATACTGGAGATTGGAGCACTTGTGTATGAACGTCTAACATATTAAGCTGGAACTCTAGTATATTGTGCTGGAATATTTTCTGGATTTTGGACAGTATTTTAATTCTTTTTCTTTTATCGTTGATTCATTTATTAGTATCTTCCAATTCCACTGCCTCTCTCATTTTCCTTTTCTTATTAGTATAAAACTCAAGTAGCCCGTCTTCTTGGACTCAATCTCCAGTACTACTACTTGCTTATGCTTACTAGTCAAAATGAGATGTAATCAATTTCTCTTTTGATCTTTTTCTTCTCAAGGTGGGGCCACTTGTTTCTTATGTCAACTATTTAATAAAATCTGTAGTATACTTTATTCCTGAATAGTCTTTGTTTAATCTTTTAATTGGTTTTGAAGACAACTTACTACTTCCCATTCACTTTTACTTGTCAAATATTTAAATTTTCCCTTTTACTTGTCCAATGAGAAAAATAATTTATTTTTTCTGTTTTGTCCTTAACATTAATTATTTATTTCAAATCATTTTTCAAAATATATTAAGACTATACATCAATTAATATGGATATTATGGTAAAATATACACTGTATTTATTATTTCTTAAGGTGTAAAAAATTTAAAGTGGACAAACAAAAATGAACGGAGGAAGTCAAACATTAAATTTCCTAGCAAGACACATACATACATTTCCTAGCACATTCTTGAAACTTGTCTAGGAAATATATATATATATATAAAAGCTAAAGATTTTTAAAGAAAAAAAAGCACACATAACATTTAGTTGTTTCTTGCTTGTAGCAAAGAACAATGGGCAAAAGAAAATATCCAAGTTTAGCTTACTTCCTTTTACTGCTCCTACAAGCACCTTTTGTATTAACTTCAACACAAGTTAACAAGACTGTGTGTATAGAAAAGGAGAGAGATGCCCTTCTTGAGTTCAAAAGAGACCTTAATGATTATTTTGGTCAATTATCAACATGGGGTGATAAAAAAGAATGCTGCAAATGGAAAGGTATTGAATGTAACAAAACAACTGGTCATGTAATTGTTCTTGATCTTCATAATGCCTTTACTTGTTCTGCTAGTGCTTGTTTTGCTCCAAGATTGACAGGTAAACTTAGTCCTTCTCTACTTGAGTTGGAGTATTTGAATTTCTTGGACCTTAGTATGAATGAATTTGAAAGAAGTGAAATACCAAGATTCATATGCTCCTTTAAGAGACTAGAGTACTTGAACCTCTCATCTTCCTTTTTTTCTGGTTTAATTCCTACACAGTTCAAGAATCTAACTTCATTGAGGATTCTTGATCTTGGATATAATAATCTTATAGTAAAGGACCTTAGATGGCTTTCTCATCTCACTTCTCTAGAGTTATTGAGTCTAGGTGGTAGTGACTTCCAAGTAAAGAATTGGTTTCAAAAGATAACTAAGCTCCCTTTATTGAAAGAACTTGACTTGAGTCTTTGTGGACTCTCTAAATTAGTTCCATCTCCTGCTGAAATAGCCAATTCTTCTTTGATCTCTCTTTCTGTTCTTCATTTATGTTGTAATGAGTTTTCTTCTTCAGCTAAATATAGCTGGTTATTCAATTTTAGCACAAGCTTAACTAGCATAGACCTCTCCAATAATCAGCTCGACGGTCAAATTGATGATCGATTTGGGAACTTGATGTATCTTGAACATCTTAATCTTGCAAATGAGCTTAATCTTAAAGGTGGGATTCCAAGTTCTTTTGGCAATTTGACACGTTTACGTTATCTGGACATGTCTAACACTCGGACATACCAATGGCTTCCTGAGTTGTTTCTCAGGTTATCAGGCAGTAGGAAAACACTTGAGGTTTTGGGGTTGAATGACAACTCAATGTTTGGTTCATTGGTTAATGTCACAAGATTTTCAGCCTTAAAAAGATTATACCTGCAGAAAAATGTTCTGAATGGTTTTTTCATGGAAAGATTTGGACAAGTTTCGAGCCTTGAGTATCTAGACTTGTCTGATAACCAAATGAGAGGGCCATTACCAGATTTAGCATTGTTTCCATCATTGAGAGAGTTGCATCTCGGATCTAATCACTTCAATGGGAGGATACCACAAGGTATTGGAAAACTTTCACAGCTTAAAATTTTGGACGTCTCGTCCAATAGGCTGGAAGGATTACCAGAAAGCATGGGGCAACTATCGAACCTGGAAAGTTTTGATGCCTCTTACAATGTCCTGAAGGGTACAATCACTGAGTCCCACCTTTCAAACCTCTCCAGTTTAGTGGATTTGGACTTATCGTTCAACTCGTTGGCTTTGAAGACGAGCTTCGGTTGGCTTCCTCCTTTTCAGCTTCAAGTTATAAGCCTTCCATCTTGCAATTTGGGACCTTCTTTCCCCAAGTGGCTTCAAAGTCAAAACAACTATACTGTTCTTGATATCTCTCTTGCAAATATTTCAGACACGCTTCCAAGTTGGTTCTCAGGTTTACCTCCCGATATAAAGATTTTGAATCTCTCCAACAACCAAATCAGTGGAAGAGTGTCTGACTTAATAGAGAATACATATGATTACATGGTTATAGATTTAAGCTCTAACAACTTTTCAGGACCTTTGCCATTAGTTCCGACCAATGTGCAAATATTTTACCTGCACAAAAATCAGTTTTTCGGATCCATCTCTTCCATTTGTAAGAGTACAACAGGAGCCACTTCCCTTGACCTATCACACAACCAATTCTCAGGAGAGCTTCCTGATTGTTGGATGAATGCGACTAATCTAGCTGTTCTTAATCTAGCCTATAACAATTTCTCTGGAAAACTTCCAGAGTCATTAGGCTCCTTGACAAATTTAAAGGCGTTATACATGCGCCAGAACAGTTTTAGTGGAATGTTGCCTTCTTTTTCACAATGTCAGTCGTTGCAAATCTTGGATCTTGGAGGGAATAAGCTGACAGGAAGAATCCCAGCATGGATAGGGATTGACCTACTCAACTTGCGCATTCTAAGCCTGCGGATCAACAAATTCTATGGCAGCATTCCATCGATCATTTGTCAGCTTCAGTTTCTTCAGATACTGGACCTTTCAGCAAATGGATTATCTGGGAAAATTCCACAATGCTTCAATAATTTTACCTTACTGCATCAAGAAAATGGTTTGGGTGAGCCAATGGGATTTGAAGTTCAAGGTTTCTATGGCAAATATCCTCGACCCTACTCGTACCTAGGCAATTTATTGGTTCAATGGAAAAACCAGGAGGCTGAGTACAAGAATCCTTTAACATATCTGAAGACTATTGATCTTTCAAGTAACAAGTTGGTTGGAGGTATCCCTAAAGAAATCGCTGAAATGAGAGGATTGAAATCTTTGAACCTTTCAAGAAATGATCTGAATGGAAGTATCATTGAAGGAATAGGTCAAATGATGATGTTGGAGTCACTTGACATGTCAAGAAACCAGCTTTCCGGTGTGATTCCTAAAGGCCTTGCTAACTTGACTTTTATTGGTGTATTGGACTTGTCAAACAACCACTTATCAGGGAGAATTCCATCAAGCACTCAACTCCAAACTTTTGAGACATCATCCTACAGTGGTAACGCTCAACTCTGCGGTCCTCCTCTTCAAGAATGTCCCGGATATGCTCCTCCTAGTCCCCATATTGATCATAGTAGCAACATGAATCCTCAAGAACATGGTGAGGATGTGGAGTTTCCATCTATGGAGTTTTATATATCAATGGTGTTTGGTTTCTTTCTTGCATTTTGGGGAATCTTGGGCTGTTTAATTGTCAACCCTTCTTGGAGGAATGCCTATTTCACATTCTTAGCGGACATGGTGAGTTGGCTTGATATGATATCAAGAATCTGTTGTTCAAGACTGAAGGGAAAGCTGAGGGCCTGATAACTGTAAAGTTTCTATGTACTAGTTTACTTTCAAGAGGTAACTTGTTTTCTGTATTTTTTTCCTCCATTTCCTACTCTTGTTGTGATTTTGAAGCTACCCAAATACTGAAATTTGTGAATGTTGACTAGAATAATGTTAGTGATAGAATTCTACGACAAAATTTTGGGTGTTTTTGAACGGAAACAGAAGTGATCCTTGATACAGACGACAAAGTCATATCGTCCCAAATGAATCAAAATGTACCAAAGTTTAGCAGTGAAAAATGTTCCCTTTGATAGTTATTATATTTGGCACTGTCAGATGAACAACAATGAAAGAAGAAAACAGAAAGAGCAGAGCTGATTTTGGATCCAAAACACAGAAACTCTGCTTTTTGCAAAAGAAAATAACTTTCAACACATTTCCACCATTTAAATAACAATTGTGCAGCTGTGCTTGTTCTACACATACACTCTTTGAGAACTATGAAAGGCAATATCAGATATAAAATCCTATTATTAAACATATTTACTTCTCCACTTAAACATATATGAAATAGCAGATTCTTTGTCCGCTATTTCCGGGGGATGATAGCAAACTTTGACATACATTAGAGCCACCACAAGATTGGACAAATATTCTTTAAACTAGAGGTAGATACTGCTTAGACTGCAGTCGCAACCTCTTCCGGTACTCCAGAGAATATCCTGCAGCAACTCAGCAATATAAGTACGCATCAAACAGAGAATATCAAACTCCTATTCTGAAGTCTGAACTAATACATCTTTCAACAGTTTCAAGCAACAAACAACAACAACATACTCCATATAATCCCACAAGTGGAGTCTGGGGAGGATATTGTGTATGCAAACCTTACCCCTACCTTGTGCGGATAGAGAGGCTGTTTCCGATAGACCCTCAGCTCAAGGAAAGCAAAAACGTAGCATAATAAAAGGAATACGATAGCGAAGAAGACATGTCGAGAGAAGCAGTAACTACGATAAGATAATAAGAAAACCGAAGCAGAAGGACTCTCAAGTAGTAATAGAAATCTAGACATAAGGAAATACGAGATTAAAACTAGGGATAATTTCATAAAAATACAATCCGTGTAGGTGCTTTTCATCTGCATAGCCATTATTTTAAGTTTTCATCCATATAGCCCATGAAAGTTTCACAATATGACATCATCATCTGGATATAACTTTACAAATCTCTATGTGATTTTTTATTCTTTGCACACAACCAACTTAAATCGATCATATACATTCCTATTGCAACTACAACAATGCAAACCAACTATAATGCAACTTGAAAAAAATTTAAATTTTCTTCTGTCCCAAGTTCTAAATAACAGAAACAAAAGAAATAAAAAATAATAATTGAAAAAAATTGTTACAAATTCGCAATTTGGCAGAGAAATTAAAAAAAAAATTGACTTTATACATCTTGTTCGAGAAAAAGTAAGAAAAAATTTGATTTCATTTTTAAGTCCACATATGTTGTACATGTATAAAAATGTATAACTTAGTATAAACTCGTATATGGAATATATAATAATGTATTCCAGTATTTCACCAACACAAAAAAGCAAAATTAGCTTTAACTGCACATGTGAAACAGGAACTTACTTCAAAGAGAAAGACCACTGCACCAAAGTCGAACAGAAATCGCGAATAGAAAGAGTAATGTTGTATAACACTATTTACACACCTAATATACAACATTATACAATATTATACACTTATTATAATTTTGTATAATGCTGTATAATATTGAATAATGATGTATAATGTTGTATACGAAAACTAAATTTCACCTTCAATTTTCTTTTTCAACTGGTATGATTCTCAAAACCAATGTTAATCATGTTCAATCAACCCAATACTCTAGATTCAAGTAACTAAAAGCTTTTTCAATATTTTTAGCGTCACCCAAATAATTTCACCGATATTAATCAACACCCATGTGATTTTTCCACCAAAATACATCTTCCTCAGGTCTATTAAAAAACTGCATAAATTGGAATAAGCTTAAAATCTCAGTCCAGAACTTCAATCTTGAAGAAATTTCAACAAAAATCAAGAATCCAGTTCGGCTTTTTCAGTCCAAAATTTCAATCTTGAAGAAATTTCAACAAAAATCAAGAACCCAGTTCTTTTCCCAATTTACCTCACCAAATTCGTTCTCAAAGAGTTGCAAAGTAGTCCAACTGAACCAAATCTCTAGGTTGAAGCTTCTTGGACTATTATCAATTAATTTCAATAGCACCCACTCGAATTTGAGCATGATTCTGTCATAAATGTTCAAATCTGAAAAGCTTCTAACTCCCTCAAACTAATTTTTGGTTTGGATATCAAAATCTTAACTTCATAACAAACTTAGGAGAGGTGGCCGCTGGAGTGGAGAGAAAAAGAGGAGAAAATGTAGAAGAGATGAGTGAAGATTGTTTGGGTTAAACATTGAAACTTTTATTTCAAGATATATACAATATGGGCATCAGCGTGTAAGATCCCAAAATATGGGCTCTTTATGGTTATAGAACTGGGTCGGGTGATATGCAGTGTAATTGTTTCTTAAAACTAGTACTACTGATACAGAAAGGCAATTTCAACAGTTTCAAGTAGGGGTGGCAAAATGGTTAAAAGAAAACAGTTAACCACCCATATTATCTACTAAAAAATGGGTTGGATAATAAACTTTTTAAAAACGGGTCAAATATGGATAAGAACCATATTATCCATTTAGAAAATGGATAACCAATGGGTAACCAATGGGTAACCAATGGATAATCAATGGGTCTAACTTTTACATTTGTAAAGCCTCAAATTGGGGATTACTCAAGTTAGGGAGACTAAGACTTCTCCCAAAAGTGAACATATGCAAGAAGTCATGGAAATATGGGTAAACCATTTTTATCCATATTAAATATGGGTCGGGTCGGATAGTTTGTCCATTTTTTCATTACCCGTTTTCGATCCGAACCGCCCGTTTGCCACTCCTAGTTTCAAGCATGAACAAGAAAAGACAATATGGACCTGTACACTACTAGTATCACCACATTCTCTGTCCCACTAATGAGATAATTGTCATGTTAAATTGGGCTGTGTACGATAGACCCTTGTGGTCCGGTCCTTCTCCGGACCCCGCGCATAGCGGCAGCTTAGTGCACCGGGCTGCCTTTTAGTCAACTAAAAATCAACTTTTCGATGAAATTTATAGTAATTCCGCCTTCATCCCATTAATGTATGACATGATTTAATTGAAATAGCAGTTCAAGATGCTTATTTGAATTTTGTATTATGCCAGCAAAGTTGAAAAAAAATATTAAAATACCTATAAAACAGCTAAAATGGCAGAAAAAATATTTCATCAAAGACTAACTTTTGATTAGTTAAATTCATTTAAATTCTTGCAATTTGAGAAAACTGTATAAAATAATTGAAAGGTGCCCAACATTTCAAGACATTCCAAGATAAAAAAAGATAGTTATATGGATTGAGACAGTGAAGAAACACATTATTCTTAGCCGTTAGAATGCAAATATAAATGAGATGGATATAGGAATTATAAGGTGAATCACACAACTGGAACCACAACAAATGCCAAAGAACAAAAACAACTAACTATTTATCTTGCGGAAGATCGTGGGTTAACTAGCACACAATCACACACAAAGCAAATAGAGAAGAAAAATCAACACACGGATTTAACAGGGTTCGACTAAGCCTAATCCTCGGGGCAAAAGCAGAGAGAGTTTTCCATTATGAATGAGAAGAAAAGCACAATACAATCTATAGAATACTCAATTACAACCCCTATATATAGATCTCAAATAGTCCCAAACCTATAAGAGAAAGGTTTCCCAATTTGACAAGGACTAGAGGTTTTTCTTTCCCAAATCTATTAGGACAATGAGTTTTCCCAAACCTGTAGGGATTATGGGTTCCTAAAAATAGAAGGAAATAATTCAAGCCACAAAATAACAAATCTTCCCCTTGGCTTGAATTCTCTTTATTAACAGGAACAACGTCTCTCTACCTTGCTCTCAGCCCTCGTGAGGGCTCTACCCATTGCCGCACACATCAACCAAGTCTAGGCAACGCCTAAACTAGTTAAGAGACTTAATCTCTTCAGCCATAGCACTAATTCGCCGATTTGGTTCTGTACCCGGAATAGCTTCTGGATAGCTATAACACTCAAACGCATCAACGGTCTCTGCAACTACCAAAGCAAATTCCACAGGATTCATATATCCGAGAAGATTCTCATCAACTATGTCTGCAAATCTTTGCGGTCGGTTGATCACACTCTTCTCTCTGCCTGTTGCAATGCTATATGGTTGTTGCGCAGGTGCATCAAAAATATCATCTTGATCAATATTTTGCACCTTCTCCACTTCGTCTATTTTAGAACTACTGGGCTGAGCTAGTAGAGATTCAGTTTCTAGCTCTATGCTCTCACTGACACCACGATCTGCTTCTGCTATTGCCTTCTCCCTCTGACTGTCCAATGACGTAGATTCATTGAATGTTATATCCATATTGAAAATTAGCCCTGGAGTCTTTTGATCTGTGCACCACAACCTATAACCTTTCACTCCAATTGCATACCCTAGAAATATGCACTTCTTTGCCCTCGGCTCAAGTTTTCCATCCCTTACATGAGCATAAGCAGGACAACCAAATATCCTTAAATTTGAATAATCAACGGGCGAACCGGACCATACCTCAAAAGGAGTTTTGAACTCAATAGCTGTGGATGGAGATCTGTTGACCAAATAACAAGCTGTATTGATTGATTCAGCCCAAAAATCCTTGCTAACACATGAATGTGAAAGCATGGTGTGTGCCCTATCACAAAGCGTTCTGTTCATATGTTCTGCAATACCATTTTGTTGTGGTGTCCCGACACAAGTGCGGTGTCTCACTATGCCCTCTCTGCTGCAGAAATTATCGAACTCAGAATTGCAAAATTCAACCCATTTTCATTTCGAAGACGCTTAACTGTTCTTTCCGTCTGCCTCTCAGCCATCGTCTTCCATTTCACAAATGTCAGAAATTCCTCATCTTTTGTTTTCAAAGAATACACCCACACCATCCTTGAGTAATCATCAATCAAAGTCATAAAATACTTGGCACCACTCTTGGAAGAAACTCTACTTGGACCTCACAAGTCTGAATGTATATAATCTAACTTGTCTCTGATCTTGTGCTCGGCCTTCTTGCTGAACTTTACCTTTGTCTGTTTACCAAACACGCAATGCTCACAAAAATTCAAAACTTGATTTTGGTACCCATTCAGCAAATTCTACTTACTCAACAAAGACAATCCCTTATCACTCATATGACCAAGTCGCAAGTGCCACAACTGAGACTGATTCAGATCACTTTTTCCAGAAGCTACAGCAGCTTCCCCTTCAACTATACTGGCCTGAAGATGATACAATTTATAATGCAGTTTATCCTTCATGAGTACCATGGAGCCTTTGTACACTTTAAGTATTCCATTCTCGAAATGAAACTTATACCCTTGATCATCCAAAGTTGAAAGATAAATCAAATTTTCTCTTTATCCGAGGAGCATGCCAACACTCAATGTTTCTGATAATTTCATCGAACATTCTCAATCTGATGTTACCAATCCCTTCTACTGGTAATGGATTATTATCTTCCATGTAGACAGTGTCACTTATCTGCTTGTAAGTTGCAAACCAATTTTTGTGTGGACACATGTAGAAAGTAGCACCAGAATTAAGAACCCATGAATTTTGCTCATGACTAGAACTCGCGGCACAGACTTCCCCTACATAATCACTATCATCGGAATTATTGCTAGTGTCAACAACATTTGTCGAATTATCTATTTTCTACTTCCCTCTTTTCTCCTTCAGCTTAGGACAATCTCTTTTGTAGTGACCTTGCTCTCCGTACTCATAACAATTTTGCTTCCTTACTCTAGACTTTGATCTGGCGGTTGGCGTTCTCCTGTTAAAGTCCTTTTGTTGTGTTCTTCCTCTAATCACAAGACCCTCACCCTCAATTCTGCTGTCTGGAAAGCTCTTTTTCAACTCATTAGATTTTAATGCATTACTAACATCTTTCAGTGAAATGCTGTCTTTCTCATATAGCAGCGTATCAGCAAAGTATCATAAGAAGGTGGTAAAGAACATAACACAATCAAGCCTGATCCTCACTCTCAATTTTGATATCCACGTTCTTGAGGTCTATTATATTATATTAAACTCATCAAGGTGAGTTTTAACAGGTGTGCCTTCGTTCATACAGAGATTGTATAACCTCTTTTCCAGGTAGAGGCGGTTTCTCAGCAATTTATTAGAATATAGATCTTCCAGCTTCTTCCATGCCATTGCTGCAGAAGTTTCTTCAGCAATTTTCCGAAGAACGCTATCTGTAATGCTCATAAAGATCGCACTCAAAGTCCTCTCCTTCAGGTCTTCCTTCTTTGTCTCTGTCATCTCTTCAGGAAAATCCTCATCAATTGCCTTCCATAACCCTTGTAACATCACGAATGATTTCATCATAATCTTCCATAGACTGAAACTAGAACTCCCGTCAAATTTCTCTAATTTGTACTTTGTTGAAGATGATAAAGACATCCTAATGCTAGATTATATATAGAAACCCGAAACTTGCTCTGATACCAATTGTTGCGGAAGATCGTGGGTTAACTAGCACACAATCACACACAAAGCAAATAGAGAAGAAAAATCAACACAAGGATTTAATGAAGTTCGGCTAAGCCTAATCCTCGAGGCAGAAGCAGAGAGAGTTTTCCACTATGAATAATAAGAAAAGCACAATACAATCTATAGAATCCCCAACTATAACCTCTATACATAGATCCCAAATAGTCCCAAATTTATAAGAGAATGATTTCCCAACTTGACAAGGACTATAGGTTTTCCTTTCCCAAATCTATTTGGACAATGGGTTTTCCCAAACCTATAAGGATTATGAGTTTCCTAAAAATACAAGGAAATAATTCAAGCCACAAAATAACAATTTAAATTAGTCAAGTGTAAGTTCGTTTTGCTGAATTTCTAGAGCAACATGTCCTGAGTTTCAGACATACTAACAATGACGCCCTTTAGCTTTAATAACCACACAAATATGCCTCACCAAACTAACTAAGTACTCTCTCCGTTCACTTTTACTTGTCCACTATAGACTTTGCACACCTCTTAAGAAATAATAAATGAAGTGCATAATTTACCACGATACCCATATTAAAAAGCCCAATATGACTTCTACATCATTAAATGACGTGATTATGAGGGTGTTTGGCTAAGCTTATAAGCTGGTCAAACTGGCTTATAAGCACTTTTTGGCTTATCTACGCGTTTGGTAAAATGAAAAGTGCTTATAAGTCAAGTGCTTATAAGCTAAAAATAAGCCAAAAGCCATAAGTTGGTCTCCCCCAACTTATCAAATTTCAGCTTATAAGCACTTTAAGTTTGACCAAAATATTTACTATTCTATCCCTAAAATACTTCTTTTTAAAACAAAACTCTTCGTATACTTAGTTCTTTAGCTGCATAGTATTAATTTCAGCACTCTTATCCAAACACATAGCTGTTTATTTTTTAAATCAGCTTCAGCACTTAAAATTGCTTTTCAGCACCTAATGCTTATCAGCTACTCTAAATCAGCTAAGTCAAACGGGCTCTATGTCTAAAAACACCAAACTAATGACTCACCTTTTTATCAAAATATTCCAAAGTGATCTTTAGCATGAATCCAAACACTAGTGTGTATTCAAGATGTCAATACAACTGGATTTTCAAGCCAGACAAAAATATAATACTGAACTAAGCCATTCTAGCAACAAAAAGAAAGAAAAAAGAATCATTTGGACAGGTTACCAATTTATGAACAACAGCAGCATACTATGAATCCGACACTCGAGACACAGGAAGTAGAAAGGTGTGGTTTGCAACTCTAGTGGTTCACATTCTCTTTAATATCAACTAGGAGTTACTTTATATTTTTGTTCCTTTTCTTTTTCCCATAACAGATAGCAACAATGAATACCTCCTACAAGCCCGATTGCAACAAGATAAGGCTCTTGTCCTGTGACTGCAACCAATGCCTGTAAGGACAATAACAACAATTCTTTCCTGTAAGTAGTGGAGTACGAGAAGGCGAAAGAAATACAAGATCAATGAGAGAATTTTCTAAGGTTATTCATGAATTAGCATTGATTGATTTACCACTTCATGGGGATACTTTCACATGGTTTAAAGGAGAAAGTAACCATTGTGCCTCGAGGTTGGTAAGATTCTTAATATCAGAAGGGTGGGATGAGCAGTTTAAGTTGATTAAGCAAAAAGTCCTTCCTAGACCGACTTCAGATCACTGCCCTATTCTGTTGGAATGTGTTGACTGGATTAAGGGAAAAGGATATTTCAAATTTGAGAATATGTGGTTTGAACACGCGCAATTTGCATACATGGTTGATAACTAGTGGAAATCATACAATATTCAATGCAAGCCTGATGCTGTCTTAGCAAGAAGTTGATGTTGCTGAAAAACGGCATTAAAAGGTGGAATAAATAAGTGTTCGGAAATCTGGAGGAAACAAAAAAATGAGGCACTCTCAAGACTAGAAGAGTTGGATCATGGTGGTCTATTTAATCAGAATGAAGAGCAAATGGTGGCAGAAAGGAGTTCTTTTAAAAAAGAGCTTGAGGAAATCTTTTATTCTGAGGAAATTTCCTAATGACAAAAATCTAGATGTCTATGAATCCAACAAGGTGATAGACATACAAAGTTCTTTCACAAACAAGCTAATGCTCATAAAAAGTATAAGAGACAGATTAGTGATTGATAGGGAGTTAGTGGAAGATGAGAAGATTATAAGAGATCATATCTTGGGATTTTATGAGAAACTTTTCACAGAAACTGAAGCTTGGAGATTAGTGTGGAGTAGGGGTGGCAAACGGGCGGGTCAGGCCGGATATGAGTGGGTCAAAACGGGTAGTTTAAAGAAACGGATAAATTATCCGACCCCACCCGTATTTGAGACAGATAAAAAACGGGTTTATCCGGCGGATAATATGGATATCCATGGCTTCTTAAATATGATCGCTTATGAGAGAATTCCTAATCTTCCAAACTTAAGGAACTCCAATTTGAGGCTTTACTAATGTAAAAGTTAAACACATTAGTTATCCATTGGTTATCCATTTGGTTAACCATTTTCTAAGTTGATAATATGGTTCTTTATCCATATTCGACCCGTTTTTAAATGGTTCATTATCCAACCCATTTTTTGATGGATAATATGGGTGGAAAACTGTTTTCTTTTAACCATTTTGCCACCTCTAGGACTGTGGAGAGATGAGAACTTGAACAAATTGTCTAATGAAGAAAGACACTGGCCTAGAGACCATTCACTATGGAAGACGTAGAGAAGGTACTTAAACTCTGCAAAGGGGACAAGGCACCTGGCCTGGATGGTTTTCCCCAGCCTCCAATCGTCTCAGAAGAGAAGACTAAGCTCAGACGAATTGCAGTCCGCCCCGACCCCTCCTTAGTGACTTTGGTCGGGAAAGGGAATAGGACAATAAATAGAGCTTTGGCTCAGAATTAGACCTTCTGTAGACGGAACTTCAGACTTCTGGATAGCCGGAGAAAGCCTAGACCAAAGGTGCCTAATAGCCTAGCCAGATTCTTTCATAAATATTGGAATACAGTGAAGAACGATGTCTGAGATACAGTAGAGTTTTTTTTTTTTTTTTTTTTTTTTTTTTTTTTTTTTTTTTTTTTTTTAAATCAAGAAGGTACATTTGCAAACAGTTTTAATTCTACTCTCATTACATTGAATACCTAAGAAAAAGGGAGCAAAGGAGATAAAAAGACTTTAAACCTATTAGCCTTTTGGGAAGAATTAATAAGATAATTGCTAAGGTGTTGACAGAAAGGCTCGAGTTGGTGATTGATAAACTAATTTTAGCCATCAGAATGCTTTCATAAAGGGTAGACAAATAGGTGATGCTGCTTTGGTGGCCAATGAATGTGTGGAATACTTGTTCAAAAGAGGAGGCAGGGGTGTGGCTTGCAAGCTTGATCATGAGAAAGCCTATGACCGTGTAAATTGGCCATGTTTGCTGAATGTTCTGAGACAAATTAATTTTGGTGAGAAGAGCTGAAGATTTTGGATGGATTAAAGGCTTAAATGTTGGAAAGATTGGTGAGGAAAACTTGGTCATATCACATATCTTATATGCTGATGATACTTTACATTTGTGTGAAGCTGAGAAACAACAGTTTCTATATCTCACAGGGATATTGTTGAGTTTTGAAGTTTTAACTGGCTTGAAAGTTAATTTAGAAAAAAGTAGTATATTCAGCATAAATACAGAGCAAGTGTTGGAGAAATTGCATATATAATGGGATGTAAAGTGGAGAATTTCCCACTGTAAATTTAGGCCGCCATTTACAACAAAAATAATAAACCCAGTAGTGTATGCACACCTTACCCCTACCTTGCGAAAGGTAGACATGCTGTTTTCGATAGACAACAAGTAGTAACAAAGAATGACGAGAGGATCTGGCAAGGAGTTCTCAATAAATGTGCAGAAAAGATGGTTTCATGGGAGAAACAATATCTGTCCTTTGGGGGCAGACTCACTCTAATAATAGTGTAGTAGATGGAGTTCCAACTTACTTGATGTCTTTATTTCTGATTGTGAAGTCTCAAGGCAGTGCTGAGATCTAATCCTGAATATTTGTGGAGTGTCCTGGGTAATGCCTCACAGTGTTCGGAGTTTGTTGGTGAGCTGGCAGAGCCAAAGAATAGCTAAAAGACAGCAGCAATTTTGGAGAACTATTCCGTTATGCATCTTTTGGACTTTTTGGCCGGAAAGAAATAAGAGATGTTTTGAAGGACAAAGAAGACATATATCTCTAGGATTAAGAACAAATGTCCACATAATTTGTATTTCTGGTGAAAGGGTAGTATTTTGGAGAATGTAGATCATATTTGGACTTTATTGAGATGCTTGGAAAGTTATTGTAACTGGCTATTTGAGCCTTCTTTCATGTACTTTTGTGTACCATCTTGGTACTTTATCTAATGAAACCTCTACCTTAAAAAAAAAATGGAGTACGAAAATCTTAAATTGCAGATTTTAGAAAAACAGTAGGTACAAACAAAGATCATATGTTCATACTCCAGTAATTCCAGTATAATATCATTCATGTTACAAAACTAGAAAGTGAGATTATAAAACCTGTCCTCGGATCCATAGAAACAAAACAGCATACATATTAGTGCAAGTTGAAGATGCAAATTGAGGCAAATCTGACAGACCTAAGACCAAGAGGAAAAACAGATTGAATAAGAAGCAAAAATCAATGTTCCTGACATTATTGCCTGTGAGGCAAACCATAAAAAGAAATAGATAGAATATGACACAGTACATATAACTTAGTCGCTATGTTCTTCTATATCCGCAACAGAAGATTACACTCCCTCAATATGAAGTCGAAAAGAAAAGGTTCAAAAAAATGAACAAAGAACTCAAGATATCACAGTAGAATAAACCGGTTGCAACATCAATCATCAACCTCTTCCCTGATTTCCCTTACAAGTTCTTCCTTGTACTCATCAAATGTACCAGGGAACTTTTCAACAGTTCCATTCTCAACTACCCAAATTTCACTTCTTTCTTCATCGTCACAAACCCTCGATATGAGCCTAGAGTCGTGACTGACTAACACAACTCCACCTGTGAATTCATCAAGTGCATCTGCCAAAGCATCAATACTCTGCATATCCAAATGGTTTGTTGGCTCATCTAATAGCAAGATGTGAGGCTTCGACATGGAAATAGATGTGAACACAACTCTAGCTTTTTGTCCTCCAGACAACTTTAAAATGGGGGTTAGATGGTTATGGCTGGGAAGTCCAAATTTTCCGAGCTTTGCACGGACAGCTTCTTGCTTACTAGGTCCCTCCTGATCTGGATGAAGACGAAGAAGGTACTGGACAGGTGTTTCATCCATTGTGAGAAGATCAACAAAATGCTGAGAGTACCGTCCAATCCTCAACTTTTGACTCCTGCGGACTTCACCCTCTGAAGGAACTAAATCACCTGCGAGGAGGTTGAGCAAAGTCGATTTCCCTGCTCCATTGGGCCCAACAATAGCGACTCGGGTCCCCATATCAATTCCAACATCAACATCAGAGAGCCTAAAGTCTGGTCGATTAGGGTAACTGAAGCTGACCTCAATTAGCTGAAGAAGTGGAGGTGTCAGTTCAGTAGGCTCGGGGAAGTGGAACTCAACGGTGTAGTCCCTCCACTTCTGAGGGGCTTCAGGTGGAGTTTCATCTTCATCAACCCTATCCTTGCCCTTTTTCTTTGATTCTTTGGCAGCTACAAATTTGGCTCGGTCTTTTACCTTCTCCTGTTGTGCTCGATTTCCAGATCTCTTGGCAGCTTTTAACTGCTTATCATAAATCTCAAACTTCTTGTTCATCTCTTTGCGACGTTGTTCATATCCACTTTCAAAACCATCAAAGTTACCCCGATAGAAGTGCAGTTTCATGTCATGGAGATGAATAATCTCATTGCAAACAGTGTTCAGAAAGTCTCGATCATGTGAAACAACAACCAGAGTTTTCTTCCATCTGCACAGGTACTCCTCTAACCATAGTACAGCCCGAAGGTCAAGATGATTAGTAGGTTCATCCAACAGCAATAGAGTAGGCTGAACAAAAAGAGCCCGTGCTAGAGAAATTCTCATTCTCCAACCACCACTAAAAGACCGGGTAGCACGAACCTGCATTTCCTTAGTGAAACCCAGTCCAGCAAGAATTTTCGATGCTTGGGCCTCAGCAGCATCTGATCCCATCAGCTGCAACCTTTCATACAGTTCAGAAAGTTTTTCTCCAACGTCATCATCCCCATCAGCATCATCTTCATTCTCACCAACAGATGCAGCAGCATTCTGTAAAGATGCAGCCTCTTCTCTGAGCTTGATGAGTTCCTCGTTAGCTGAAACAACAGCTTCAAGGGCAGTCCTATCATCGCCAACTATCTCTTGTTCAACCAAAAGTACATCAATGTTTTTTGGTACTGGAATTTTCCTCCAAGCAAGGAGCTTTAGTAGGGTGGACTTGCCCTTTCCATTGGGACCAACTAAACCATATCTCTTCCCATGAGATATCTTAACTGATGTGTTCTTTAAAAGTTCCTTTCCACGAGCTGCTACAGAGAAATTCTCTATAGTTATATCCTTGACATTTGCATCAGCATCATCTTGACCTTCAAGAACAGACGCCCTGCTACCGATAACAACAGTAAAAGCATCATGATCATCCCTAAGTGCCTCCTTTTTGGCCACCTCAGCTGCCTGAAAAGCAAGCACGTCCTTCTTTTCGCGTTTCTTCAGCTCTTTATAACTTATGGAGGTATCAAGTGGACCTGTTTCATTCCTTCTATGCCTTCTCAGTTCTTCCTCTTCTTCAGGGAGAAGCACATCTTCCTCATCATCAGAGGGAGGAAGATCAATACCATCAGTGTAAGCTGACGCTTTTGGAGCTGCTTTAGGCTTGGGCTTACTAGCACCAGTGCCTGAAGATCCTTTGTTGGGCTTCTCAGGCTTCTGGTCCATGCTGGCAAGCATGGCAGAGACAGAAAGCTTCTCCTTTTTCCCTTCCTTGGAGCCATCTTTGCTGCTTCCCTTAGCCTTCCCGCTAACACCAGCCTCATCTGTTTTTTTCTTCCCCATTGTATTTACTATCTGTTGTAACCAAAGATAGTGATTAGAAAATGTGAACAAATAGATCGTCAATACACCAGTCAGCTCAGCCAACTGACCAAAAAACAAACACATCGAGAATAGTAATTAAGAAGCTTCGCACAAAAGACTAAGCAACTAGCAAGAAATTGGAACAGTAGCATAAATAGAAAAGAAAGAAGCATAAAATCACATTGAAAGAAGTCAGAGACAGAATGGCAATAAGAAGAGGTCATAGTTTAGTGAACCAGAAAAACAACAAGCTTAAGGTTATTATCCAGACTCAAACACTGGAACATATGTTATAGGAAAAGAGAGAGAAACGCAATGACATATCTAATAATTCCAAAAGCCAAAGGATTGTTGGGACACCGTAACAGCAAAACCAATCAATTAAAAACTTTAGGGAACATTTGTTTCGCACAGATTTGCACATTACGTTAACCAACAAAGAAGACCAGAAGGTTCTGGTATAATATTTCAATTATACCCCTGCCACATTCTCCTTAGTACATAACTAAAACAAATGTTGAGACCAAATACAAATATTACTTTTGTTTACTCCGAGTTGAATCTCAGCTATATTAAGTCCAAAGGAATCTAAAAAATAATGTACACTTTTTATCCTGAGAAGAAGAACCAAGGCTTCTTCTAGCTTCATCCAAGATTGATTAACCAATCTACTATGCCCACAATCCCAAACTAGATGGAATAGGCTACATAAATCTTCTTTATCCATTCAACTTCAACATATCCATCATAGATTCATAGTAAACTATTTTTATCGATCAATTTGAAATTCCTGAAAGCACTTTCGTCCCAATTTGGAATCAATAAGTATGCGCGCACACAAATGTGGGGGTGTGGGGGGGACAGACAAATTTTTAAAAAATAATCAAAAAAGAAAAACAAACAGATTAAACAAACCAAACCATGGCAAAGGGTAAAATAAGCTAAAACTACCAATATTAATATAGATATCTCATCTTTAATAACGCTCCAAGAAAAAACTAGCAGAAAGTTATTTAAAAATGAAAACTCATCTTAGTAGCGTTATTCATAATTCTTTTACTTGTTTTGTTAGTGTTCGACAAATTTAATTAGTAACACTCATAACACAGATTAAAGCAGATGTCTTTCTTCATACAGTGGGAGCAGCCACAGTGAATCAAAACCCAATACATAATTCATAATCTATATCAGTAAAACCTAATTCACAAAGAGGAATTATTAAAAGTCGGTTTTAAAAAAATTAAAAAACGAAAAATCGGGATGTATACATAGTAGAGAAGAAGCTTACGTTTTTTGAATTCGCCGGAAAAGAGAGATCGCCGCCGAGGAGGTCGCGGAGATATGAGCAAAGGTCGTATAGACGATAGAGTGGTGGGAGTTTAATGAATTGTGTATTGCGCTTTTTTTTTTTTTTTTTTTTCCTTCTTTGTGTCTGTATAAGCGAATCAGATTCTTATAAGGGTTTTTAGATTAAAATTAGGCTAAGTTTTTTGTATATATTTCAATGAGAAAATCACAACAAACATTATTTTTCTTTACTTTAATTAAATTTCTTAATCTTTTGTAATTTGGCACATATTTTGACTTAAGCTGGCAATTTTAGGCCCAATCGGCTCAATCCGCCCAGCTCGGCCAAATTTTCACGGGTTAGGTTAATATGTAAAGAAAAAATTCGTGACTTGTTATAAATAGAATTTTATTTACGATGAATATCTATATTTAGAGAGATTCTAGAGTTTATTACTTGGTGGCTAAGTCACTTTCTCCCTATAAATAGAGAGGTTCTATTCCATTGTAATTCATCTCATATCAATAAAAATTCTCTCTCTACTTTTCTTTGTAATACTCTTCTTGTTCTTTTATTATTTCATAACACGTTATCAGCACGAGACTCTAACCAATTGAGTAGAAGCTTTGGGATTGAGCATAATCATTGTCAATTATTCCATGAACTTCCTTCATGATTAAATTCTAGATTTAAGGTAAGTATTTTACCGTATTTTTCTCTTATATTCTATACTTTGATTTTAAATACAAGCAAAGAAAATAAATTTTGATTATTACTCTAATGGAGTTAGTAAGAAACTATAACCACTCGAAGTGGTAAAATTTCTATGTCTTGCCATGATCAAAGTCATGTATGATTGTGAGCACAAGAATTGAAAC